TTTGAAATCTTTGTCTTATTGTCTTAAAAAGTAGAATTTCAGCTGCTGAGTTGCTGAAGTGCTTGGGGATGTTTTTACCCCCTTGAAAGGACAGAAGGAAGCACTCAGTGGTATCTGAAGGACCATCCACACCTCAGGGATGTGCAGTGAGTACCAATCCTCATAAATCCATGGGTTTCAGAGAGCACTGGCAGCCTTTGGTGAGGCATGGGTTGGTTCCTCAGATGTCCTGGTTCTGTGCAGTTTTCTCTATGGAAATACTGTGTGAATGCCCTGCTTGCCCTGTGCTGGTCAGAGACATCCCCTCCCAGCCAATGCATCCACAGGGACATCAGGAATGGTGTTGGCATCTAAGTGGAGGTCAGATTCCATCCTGGTGAGCAGGAGGGCAGTGAGGGTTTGTTGCTGATGTGCAGTGTGGCACAGCACACTCATTGTTCAGATGAGTATCTGAGCTCCTCAATCAGCTCTGATTCCACTTTTCTGGTTTGCCATCCCCAGCCCAAAAAAATGAGATTTTGCTGGACATGGGAGCTTTGCAGCCACCCATCCCTCCAGGATCAAGCAGACCTGCTCATCTGGGCATTGAAACACACGTGAGATGCCCACAGAGAGGCCATGGCTGGAGAGCCTGAGAGGCTGGGAACTGCTGCCCCAAAGAAAAGCAAAGCTTTTCTCTTATCTCTCACTTCCAAATCCAACCAGCCAATTACACATCAATTAAACTTTGTTTGAACAATAATAGAAGCTTTGGCTCCATGTCAGCAACTGCTCCACAGTTAAGGGGATTGGATAGTAATAGTATAAATAAATAAACAAGAGATGCTTATTCTAACAGTTCATTTTAAAACAATTTGTGAATATCATGTAGAGATAAAATGTGCCTAGCATAAACTTAGCTAAGCAGTGACTGCTTCATTATCAGAACAAATAATTCACTAGCACATCATCTTTGAAGCTTGGGAGGCCTGTGGAATTGTGCTGCTTGTTTATTTTCCTGGCTTTTACTGTTTTTGCTACATTTCATCTGCAGGGAAGGGTTTAGCTGGGGCTGTGGCAGTGTGGTGCCAAGCTCTGGTGATGCCAACCCTGCTCCCACTGCCCACGGTCTCAGTGCCAGGCTCAGCCCCTCTGCCCTCCCCTGGGCATCACCCACTGACTGTGGGGTTTTAATGCCACAGGGGATGTCCTGCTCACACAGGAGGCACCGCAGCCTTTCCCCCATGATTGCTTTCTTTGAAGGTGCCTTTCTTTTGTGAACATAAAATGTGATTTAAGTGTTGCCTTGTGAGGGGCAGTGAGAGCTGCTGGCATGGCACAGCACACTTTGTCCCTTTGTCCCAGTGCAGGGGTGGGACAGGAATGTCCCTGTCAGAGCACTAAACCCAGCAGAGAGCTTTGAGGGGCACATGAGACCCTCAGGATAGGGCTGAGGAGCCTGAATGGTCCCTTCTGCTCTGGAATGGTCCCTCTGCTCAGCCCATCTGGCTGGAGCTGGATGGAGGGAGAAATGGGTTTGAATGTGCCTAAAACTGGAATCATGTCAATTTTGGTGTTTTGCAGAGGAGGCTGTTGGGGTTGGGGCTTGGCTGCTTCTGCTGAGTCCCTTGTGCATCCCTGGGTGCTCCAGGGCTCGTGGCTGGTCCCTGGGTGGGCAGGGCAGCTGTGGGGCTGCTGCTGGGCCCTGCTCCCTGAGGGGCCCTGCTGCCTCCACCTGAGGCGTGTGCTGGGCTGGACACACACCTGGAGTGGATTTCAAAAAAAGGAATATAAACTGGGAGGAAATGGGTCCAGTGCTGGACATCCTCACTCCAGGGATGGTGTTGTCATTGGCACATTGAGGGCATTTGCTGCAGCCCATGGACACTGCGTCCAAACAGGTTTTGGGTCTGAGCAAAAGGTGATGGGGCCAGGAATTGCTGCAATGAATCTCCTGGGTGCTGGTGGCTCAGACTTCACCGGAGACTTGAGTGTTGCTGTGCTGCACTTGTGCCCATCACTGAACCTCACTGAGTCCCGTTTGCCCGGGCAGGGCTGCCCTTGGCACAGGGGGTGTCCTGAGCATCAGGTGTCACCTGCTTGCACACACTCCCCAGAAGCCCCAAATTCCCAGTTTTTGTCCCCAGCTTCTGCATAGCAATGCTCTGCCCCGCTTTGGAGCCGTGTGGGAAGGAGGGTGGATAAAACAGAGATCTGCCCGGCTCTTGCTTCAGACCTCCCACCAAAGCCAGGCTGAGCTTTCCCAGAGCTTGGCAAGACTTTGGCAAGTTTTATTGCAGCACTGGGTGCTTCTTGTGCCTCTGCCGGTCCCCGAGCAAGGGATGATGAAACGGCCCATTGTGCGGGAGCTGGGCGAGCGGAGCATCCCCGGGAGCCGCCCATCCGCCGGGCTCTGCCTGCCCCGGCCTGCCGGAGGGGCTGCGTGGGCAAAGCTGCTGCTGAGCTGCAGCTCCTCGTGCCTCTGAGGAGCTCCATTGACCTGTAGTAAATCTGGGAAGCAGGCAGGTTTCTGGCCCCTTCCCAGGCCTGCCAGGGAGCTCTATAGAGCCACTGTAGCACGGCCTTGCTGCCGGGCAGGGCTGTTCTGCTCCCTTCTTAAAAACGGGACTTTTAATAAGGGCCAGGACATGATGTTAGGTGCTGTCTCTTGCTTTCTTTTTTTTCATTTTAATTCAATCTCTATGACTGCATTTCCTTGGCCCCAGCTCTCGGGTTTGTCATGCCTTCCCATCAGAGATGCACAACCCATGTTTGTATCATATTGCAGAGATATTTACTGAACGAGCCTCTGCCAAGGGGTTGAGAAATATGTTTTCATTAAGAAAATTAAACTGACAAGTCCCTGGACAGCACATTAGTCGCATATTTTTTCTTTAAGGCCAAAATGCAGCAGCTAATAATAATGATGAAATGTCCATGCACAGCCAAATTACTAAAATCTACCCATGTTTTCCTGGAAAAGAATGTGGAGAGTTGGCAAACTTGGTTGTAGCTGGGTCTGTGGACTGCTGAGCACAATGCTACCACTGCGAGATAGTGAGTGGTTTGCAAGTTAAGCAACACCTTCAATCAGATGTGAGTCCCCATTTGTTATCCTTAAAGAATTTCAGCTGTATATATTATAGTAGTACTTTGGCTCTTTGTATTTATTTTAGAGGGCTATACTAAAGAACATTATAAACTCAGGCATGTCCATGCTATATGAACTCCATATGCTGAAGCTTAATTTTAAATGCCATTAAAAAAGCACTTAACATTTACAATATATCAGTTCAGCTACTTTAGCAGCTTGGATGTTCTACAGTAAATGAAATGATTGAGGGAAAAAGAAATTCAGAAGCTCAGTGTTATAAAAATCCCCAGTGCAGGTATGACACTGTTAAATTGTGTTCATTTCATTTATGTTTTGAAATAATTTTATCCTCCTTTTTTAATTTTCTTGTTTTTCTTTTTTGTTTCATTTTAAAATGCCATTTTAAGGCCTAATTAAAAAAAATCTTGGCATTCAGATTGGATTCCTTATACAATTTTTTTTTCAATGTGTGAATTGGGCTGTGTATTCACAAATTGAAATGTCCTACTGTATTTACCCAGGTGCTTACCTGTAGGAGGACAAGGTTAAGAGGAGTGCAGAGTTTATGAATGAAAATCAAAGAGGGACATTGCTAAACCACCCCTTTTTAGTCCAGGCTAATTACATGGTAAACATCTGGAATTTATGCAGGGCGGTTAAAAGAGTCAATTGAAAGGATTTTGAACAGGGCCCATTTTGTTGCCTTCTCCCCAAGCAGCGACAAAATGGTGCTGCAGACTTGGACCAGCTCAGGAAAAGAGGGATAAAGTGGGGGACAGAGTGGCCTTGATGTCTGATGGAGAAATGACATCAGGATTTGGGCCCATCTTAATTCACGCAATTCGAACGAGGCCAGGATGTGGCAATTCTCATCCTCCATCCCCTGTGGAAGGAGAACTTTGTGTCCTGCCTGGAGGCTGTGGTGAGCCAGTTTGCTCTATTGACTCGGGTGTTTTTACTGGATGAGGAGGAGGTGGGGAAGATGGAGCCAAGAAAACAGTTATTCTGAGGATGTGAAGTGCCTAATCCTGCAAATCCTGGCTGCTGAGGCGGCCTCAGGGGATTGGGAAGCCCATGGCAATGTCAGTATCCATTAGGGCCCTCTCCTTTGGATTGCAGGGCTGGACTGGGATGGAATCTGCTGTTTTCACAGCAATAGCTTCATAAAAAAGTATCATTTAATATCAAAAAGAGGCTTTAGAACTGTAAGGCATGACAATGTTATCTGTGATGGGATGCTCTAGTTTGGTGTTGGTTGCTGGAGCCACTGGGACAGGCACATTTTGGTGGGAAGCTCTGCCATGCTCCAGGCTCCAGCAAGGTGTAAGGGGTGTGCTGTGAATTTGGGAAATCTGGGAAGGCCAGAGGAGCCTGTCTGCACCACCTCAGGGTTTAACCCTTTGTTTCCCCCAGGCTTTGCAGATCCTCAGTTCTGTTTGTTGGAGGGAGCACAGGAGGAGTGGTGGGACCTGGTGGATATTGGGATCATGTGGATGACAAAGCCTGTGCTCTGTTTCCTCTGAAATGCAGTCATGTCTCCAGACTTTCAAAAACTTCCACAGCAGCAAGAAATTTGCAATTTGGTGCTGCCATAAGCCAGGCAGAGCCTCCTGTAGAAGTGAGGGCTCCTTGTGCAAGGCTCCCACAAACAGGGATGTGTTGACCCCCCTGTATCTCTCTCTGCACCCTCCTTTTCCTGGCACTGGCCCACAGCCCCCCTCCCTAAACCCTCATCAAAATTTGTGCCCACTTTTGCACTGGCACACGCTCTGGAAAGAGAGAGTTTAATTCAGGTGTGAACAAGAACCAACAATGTCCTTGCAAAATCCCTCTGATGGTGGATCTGCTTTTTGGGCTGCTGCTCCGAGTTTCCATCAGTTCCAGTGCTTGCACCCCTCACTAACGTGGTGACTCTGCTTTCCCTAAGGAGGATGTTCCCCAGTTACAAGGTCAAAGTGACTGGAATGAACCCCAAGACCAAATACATTTTGTTGATCGACATCGTCCCGGCCGACGACCACCGCTACAAATTCTGTGACAACAAATGGTAAGACAACACTTCTGTTTGCCTGCTTTTCCATAGAAATTTACAATTGGATCAACCATTTGTTGTGCAAACTTAGAAACCAACAGAAACACCTTCCCACAGGAGGGCTGCCAACATCCCAGAGCTCTCTTTGGTGGAGCAGTGATGGACACGAGAGCCAGGGCTGGAAGTTTAAACCAAACAAATATAAAATGAAATATTATTAACAGGCTGGGTGGTTAACTGCTGGAAAAAAAAATGCTGCTGGGGTGGTGACTTGTCCATCCCAAAGTGTTCTGGGCTGGGGAGTTTTCTTGGAGAAGATGCTTTAGGCCAAGCACGGGTTATCTGGCTGTGTGCAGTGTAGGAGGGTAAAGCCATAGCCTGCCTTGTACCAGAGGCTGGACAGGATGACCTAATGGTCCATTTTGGCCCTCAAAATTAGGTCTTTGTGTGACTCGAGAAAAGTTTTAAATTCCTTTCTTCTATAGTAATATTTTGCTTTTAGGAGAGCAGCTATAAAGCGAAATATGGGGTGGTTCACTCAGAGCCCTGATTCTCTTCTGTTATTCTTCCTTTCCCTGTGCCTTTCCCAGCAGAGTTACTTACCCGAGAGGCAGCTGGGATTTTTGCTCTCTGACAAAGGAAATGTGTTGTTTTCTCTTTTGATTTCCCCCCACAAAATGCCCGACAGCCTCCCTCACTGCCACTATTCGCTGTGGTTTCCCCAAACCCTTCCCCTGGCTGCTGCCTGCTGAAAAGCAATGGAAAATTTCACAGGGAACGAGCCCAGTGACATCCCAGAAAGCAGAAATTATTTACTTGCCCATTAGGGCTGCTCCAGTTTAAAAAAAAAAAATCCCTTTTCCGTGAGCTTTTGTCCCGGAATGCCGCTGGGTAAGAGGAGTGCACTGAGGGTCTCTGCACCACGGTGGCCACTTTGTGTGTTTCAGACATTAAACACGAGATGATGGATAGTCCTTAACTCTGTTTAATTTAGTTTTTGCCAGCCCTAGAGCTGTTTCCCCTTTTCCTTTTATTGCTGCTGGAAAGTTTCTGTTGTTTTTGGTAATATTGCTTTTATTGGGGTTTTATAAGAGGAGAACAATGTGGAGTAACGAGGGCGTTGCCATCGAATGATGTCTCATGGCTGGGCCTTGTGTCCATGAGGGTTGGTGGTGCTGTGGGGCAAGGGGAGCTGGGCCAGAGTGGGGAGCAGCCCCTTCCCACGGGGACGGGCTGTGGGAGCCCTGCCTGGCTGCCAAGGTGCAGTCACACCAGTTCCACTCCTGCCCACAGGTACCTTCTGCCATCTCCCTTTGCAGAAGGCTCTTTGAAGATTTCCAAAAACCCAGACTAGTTTTCCTCCTCAAAAGTGTCTCCACAATGCCCTTGTGAGGACACTGCCCCCAGGAAATCCCACATGGAGCAGGGATGGGGTCACTGCCAGCCTGTGGTGCTGAAACAAGGATCCCAAAGCAGGAGCCTCCCTGCGTCCCCCTGTCCCAGTGCATCCCCCCAGGGCGGGCAGGAGGGTTGCTGGCATGAGCCCAAGGACCAAAAGCTGTTGCAGGTGCCAGGGTGATGCCATGTGTCCCCTCTGTTGGCAGGATGGTGGCTGGGAAGGCCGAGCCGGCCATGCCGGGCAGGCTGTACGTGCACCCCGACTCCCCGGCCACGGGAGCCCACTGGATGAGGCAGCTGGTGTCCTTCCAGAAGCTCAAACTCACCAACAACCACCTGGACCCCTTTGGACACGTAAGAGAGACATTCTGCAAGGGCTCTGGGTGGAGGTGGGCCCAAAATGCTGGGTTTGTGTCTGGGATGCTGGGTGGGATACAACAATAATCATTAATTTGATAATCATTAATTTAATAATAAGGAATAACATTATTTTGTGCTTGGGGGGAGTGTTTAAAGCAAAGGGAGGGGGTCTGTGTGCTTCCCCTGCTCTTGGAAATGCAGCCATGACTGGCTCAGTTGTGTCCTGCTTGATCCCACTGAGGTTTTCTTTCCTGCCCAGGATCTTTCCAGGCAGTGCTGTGGGATTTTCAGCCTGGCACGTGGTACATGCAGCTCACAGAAGCTGTTGCATAAACTCCTGATTTTCCAACTGGCTTTGGCAGCCCTAAAAAAGATCAAGTATTTTATTTGGAAAATCTTGATTCATGTGTATTGGGGAGAGGTGGGGAGCACACAGTTATCTGCCCCAGTGCATTTAATAACTCAGAGCAAGGGCCCTGGCAGCCTGTCAGGAGAGTGAGTGCTCAGATACTGCATATAAAAACTCAGACCTGTCTGGTTTGCACAATTTGAGCTGGAAGTCATGTAAAAATAAACCATCCTTGGTGAGAGGAAGGGAAGAGAGAGTTTAAAATCCTTTTAGGTTTAGTGCCATCAGCTCCTCCTTGTACCGAAGGTAAGAGAATCTAATTTGTGTCATCAAATGTGGGTTTTAACCTGAATGTGTTTTAAGCAGCAGCAGTTTGGAGGGCAAAGGAGGCTGTGGGAAGGGTGCAGAGTGGGAAGGGATGTATCTGTCTTGCTTAAAATGATTGTGCACTGAGCCTCTAAAGAGCAGCTTTTCACTTGCAGTCAGTGTCCCAATGCCTCCCAAAGCTGTCCAGAAAGTGTGATTCTGGCTAAATCAGCTGCAGCTCCTGACTCCACAGGCAGGATGATCCCACCAGCTTAAAACACTGCTAAAATCCAGAATTTTTGCCAGTGTTTGTGATTTTTTGTGGATTTTGAGCCTCCAAAAGCCGGGCCCTGGCAGGGACTCGGTGATAACCCAGCCCCGTGCTGGGCCCTGACCCCCTCCCACCCTACTGACCCCACGAGACATGTGTGAGCTTCAAAGGCTCCCCGGCACCTTTAATGCTGCTGTCATTAATCACAGCCCATCCCTGCTCCCCTCTAGGGGGGAAGCACCATGGAAATGAAATGAAACAACTGTGCCAGGGCT